TTTTTTTGGTCCTTTTTATCCCCTAAAGCGTCCCCCTCGATTAAGTGCCCACCTTTCAATAAGCGCCTCTACTTTTTGCCGAAGTTTTAAAGAGGTACCCTGGGTCTTATTCGAGGAAATACGATACTTTGTAATTACGTTGTAAATATAATAGTAATAACCTTAGTATTTTTATTTTAAAAGTAATTACTTCCCCCTTCCGAAAAGAGATACTGACAGCGAAAACTATAATGCAACAGGTTAATTATTGTAAAGAAGGAGGAAGTAAGAGCGTTGTATGATAAAACGGACGATTAATTTTTACGTGCTTTTGTAGAGAAATACGATGGAGATGGAGAAATTATCCCTGGAACTTAGTTATACATAGCTGAGCTTGCAGCAGCTGAAAGAAAGGAATTGCTTTGATCACAATTTTGAGGAATGTTGTTACTGTAAGGAAACTGTAGACTCCGTGGAGCCTCCCCGCAAATATTTTGTATAGGACCTGAATTTTGAATGCAGTGTACCATGAGAGCTGGAGTGATACACCTTGCAACGTTCTTCTGAGACTCCTTCTTCAGCTTCATGCGGTACCGTTTGTTCTTGAACCAGTTCTAGAACGAAACATACAGAGGTAAAGAACGGCACGATTAACCCAGAAGCCTATTCTGGATTTACTGATATAAAGGGCCTGGTTGCTTGGCCGGGCCTACACTTTGGCTTAACTTTTTCAGAAAATCGGTCATTCTAATTGACCGTTGTAATATTTCACGTGTCGTGGGAAATGACTGTTAACGATTATTTTCTGGAATTTCTAGGACGTTTAGTTGCGATGTTGCAGCTGTTCAACACACGGCTGTCGCCTGGGTTCCCATGCGGGACATACGGGAAATCCTAGATTTTGAGCATGTGCAGTGGAAACATTCTTGAACCGCCAAGCTAAAGCCTGTCTATTTCATTCACTTTTTTTTTCTCGATTTTGAAGCGTCACTTTATTGTAAACATTCAGTTAGAATTTTCTCGAAGCCTTCTTGAAGGAGTTTGTATTAAAAGTTTTGATTTTACAGGTTGTCACCGTTCGCAACAACATTAACTTTAAAATTAAGCATATTTCTCAACTTGCTCCTCCTGGGGTTACATTTTTTAAAATCTTACCTGCAAAGCTGGTTTTGGTATCCCCAACACAGCAGCTACCTCCATACACTGGTTGGAAGTCAGGTACGGTGATCTAGCAAACAGTCGCTCCAACACGTTTTTCTGATAATCTGTCAGCCTCCCTCGTGTTCGCAGTCGTGGGTAAGACTTCGGTGCAGAGGCCTGGCTGTTTACATCAGCTACTTGAGCGGTATCGCCTGTGTTGATAAATTCTGCAGTTAACCATTTAACTATCAAGATCTTATCGGTTAATTCTTCCCTGTAACCACACATTTCCTTTGAGTTAGATACGAGAATTTGTTTATTTGAGTATTTTCATTACCTGTTTACTGGATGATGTATGAATATTATAAAGAGAAGTTACGTGTTAATCACCTCTGGAGTAGAACATCTTTCGTTTTTAAATTTCAAGTTACAATTTTTTCTCTTCCTCTTACATTCACGTGCAGCGCACATGATTTCACAAATTAGCCAATCATGTCAAAGAACTCCAACTTTGACATTGGAAAACTGACGTGGACATTTTTTCGCGTACTTTTTGTTTTTGCGGAGTTTAGTTTGTTGTTTTGAGCTTTCGTTCGCGTAAATTTGTTACTCCTTTGCTTGGAATTTTAAGACGTTTCGGAGTTTTTATTTTAGCTAAATATTGTGGTTCATTTAAAAAGTTTGATACGTATTTTCTACAAAGTTTGGACTCTAGTCTCTTTTTTCGTGGATGGATTTTTTACATCTGGGAGTTAAAGGGTTAACTTGATTAGGGTAGATAATGAGTCACATCTAGTGGGTATTTCTTCGTTTTGTGGAGGAAAGGCTCTCGAAAAAGCGAAAGAAAATGTTAAAACGAGGAGAAAGAAAAGAATCAACCCAGTAGCTTCAGACATCGAGCATAATAATCGAGATGAGGTCATGGCGGATGCAAATAAATTCTCTCACCGCCATGCGCTTCTTTGCCTATGGATTTATAAGTGAAATACACCTTAGAATCTAAAGTAAGTTTTCAATCATTTTAAAATCAAGGGTATTGCTAGTTTCCAGGTTTACATCGTCCTTCATTATCATGTTGACGGATAACGAATTTCCCCACGTTTGGAAAAATAGCCGTACTTAAAGTTTACTTTTTTTAAGATACAAGACACGACCGTTTTGGTCGTGTTTATGAGGGAATCACAGGGTGGTAGAAATCCCCTGACTTATACCAAGAGAGAAAGTTTTTGGTTTTTTGAAAACATCTTGAAAATACAAAAACCATTCAAACAAACCAAAAAACGTTGTAATAAACTCAACAAGTTAATTTAGCGTGTTGCTTTGATGGACTTCCACCTTGTTTGATCTGAAGTTTTGGTTCATACTTCATATTTTTTCCAACGCAAGCTCAAGCAATTGAATGTGAGCAACAGAATATTCGTTGGCAGGCAACACTTTAGAGTAAGCTTGCCGTGGATTCTGCACTTACCAGAAAAGGATCTCGGCGGTAACGGATTCAGCGGGTTGAACGGATCGACGTCAATTGCATGTGAATCTCTACCATTTTCTGGTACTGGTTCAAATAATTCTGCCATTGCGACCAAAAAATAACTGTTTCGGAATTTTAAAATTGAGAGTTGGTGTGCTCCCTATAATTGCTTGGAGAGAAATGTTTTGAAATTGCACAGTGGTGCAGTGGCTGATTTAAGCAAAATAATGACGTACCTAGGTATTTGTTTTGAAAATAAATAATGCGCTATTCGCTAAAGGATTGATTTTCTAGCGTAAGGTTGAAGCGTCATTGAAACCGAGTGAATATCTGTTCTGCATGTATAATGACATCATTAAAACAGCAATACGTCATTTAATCAATTTTGAAGTCAATAAGCGAATTATTATTAACAAACAGTTGGTTTCTCAGCCACGGATATTACAATCTGATCTCAGCATATCTTTTTCGGAAATATGTTGACGAAATGAATGCTAAAAGCTTTCTAACTTGTGAGATGAATCAGTTTCTTCTTGGATAAAAATTGGTTATCGCAGCATTGACGGTAAGCAACATTTACATATCGCATAGTTATTCAGTTTTATCAGTTTGTGCCGTGATTTTACGTAATAAACGAAACTAAATGAAATATCCATAATTAACACCTGATTCAATGGTGCTAATAATAACAATTTTGATTAATTACGACGGATTTTGAAAGTGAAAAACAAACGTCAAGAATTCAGATCAAAACAACGAATTTACAGGGTAACCAACCAAATGTTTTGGTATCAGACAGGTTCGAGAGACCCAAAGTACCATAGATTTCCGAAATCGTGGTTTTAAAACGTAATTAGACTTAGTTCAGACTGGATCCCTTTGCCAACAATGCTATCATTTCAGACAAATATATCGTGTTTACACGTTCGTTTTAATATTGTTATGGCCATATTATTGCAATCATTGTTATGTATATTTTAATTTTTGTTTGCAAAACGAAGAGGTAGGTAATTAGGTAATTAAGGCTGATTAAAGTCTAATTAACCCATTCCTTATTATTCGAGGTAATTGATGCTTCGCTGAGTGTTATGTAACAGGTAAATTATCCAATACGATTGGTACATACTTCGTATGAAATAATGCATGTTGTTATGTTGAGCAGTTAAAATGTCATTGGTAAGTTGAGTGGCTGATCTAACGAATAAAAACAATTAGCTGCAAATTAGCGATTAATTAGCTATATGTGACCTCACAACAAAAATCAACGAATCAGCAAATGTTTACATTTATATTTTTGGAATTAAGATATGGTATGAAATAACTTTACATAGCTGTAAAGCAAATGAATTGGAATCAGCCATCACCACAGGGAGACGGTTTGGTTAAGTTTAAAAATGTCAACTTCATCCTTTGTCGAAGAAATTGTCTCAATGGAAGGAAAAATGTTGGCTGATGAAATTGTAAAAGGTAGATTTACACAATGTGTTGTAGCAGTCCCCATAAAGCGGATATTTACCAAAAAAAAAGAAGAGGACATCTATATATTTAGCGGAAAATGAAGTCCAGTCAAAACTCTCTGCTTCTTGAGTTATCGAACATGTCCAATAATTTAACATGATCATTAAATTATCGCATCGAATCGAATTAAAATCTGCATGGAAAAATTTGGTTGACTTGATTTCTATTCAAATTCAGTCGTAGGTACCAAGCCAGGCTGTAGTCTTAAGCCAAGTGGAAAACCGCGATCGAGGTTTAATTCTCATCAAAAACAAATTTTGGAGCAAGTGTTTCATCTGTCGCCATACCTTGATTCCATTGAGCAGGCACAGATGGCCGAGACTTTGGGCATTCAAAAGACGGCGCTGCAGGTATTTATCGAAAAAAATTGAACATTTACTTTTTCTGATACTGACGCCCCGTTTGTTTTTGTCTTTAGAACTGGTTCAAAAACAAACGATATCGTCTAAAGAAGAGACAAGAAGCGGGCGATAAGGAAGTTTTACCACAAAATGAAATAAATGACCACTGCAAGGTGGAACCAGGACACGAGGAAAGTTTCAGTTTTGCAAAATTTATTTAACAATGGCGAATCAGACGTCGATAACTGCGAAGAGCTCTAGGAAGATTTGTCGGAATCTTCCTTTCCTTTCGCCTTGATACCATGGATATAAACGACGCGCTAATTTGACTAAAATGTTGTTAAATTGTACTCCAAGACCACCTTTCCTCTAGTTCTAATACTTTCCCAATTTACTTGACTTCTCCTGTGTCTTTAGACGAGTGTTAAATGCTTAAACTTGAATGCTCATTTGTTTTAACGTTCAGAGTAATGTCGAAAGTAGTCCATGATTGCATCAGTTTTGCTCTACTTCGCTTAGTGATTGGTCCAGAAAAAGCGCTACTTTTCTGGCCGGTATGTAGGACAAGTAGTTTAACTATAATTGTCTCTAAATGTTTTCCCTGACGACTTTTAGCCAAAATTTTAGGTAAACGGTTAAATCTCTTCACTTAGAAGATGTTTTTCGAAACATATTTTTTTTAAAACAGTAATATAGAATTATGATGAACAATGACCACATTGTGTATAACATAAAATGTTTATTGATACAAATTAAAGCTAAGCTATTTATTCTCAGCAAATCTAATGAAACGTAGAAGAGGTAATAACTTGTGTGTAAAGTGGCTTGAACGGTTTTACAATCATTAATATCACTTACTGAGCTGCTTGCATTGTATTCTTATTGTAGAATGTAAAGAAAGCGACATAACTTTTAAGTCTGTAAAACATGTTTCGACAGAAACTTCTGTCATCTTCAGTTAATTAATGTGCAAAGCGTTGGAAGTTGAAGTATATAGTAAGTAGAACAATGCTAATTATGATAAATAGTGACAACAAGAAAAGAGGTAAAGGATGAAAGTGTGAGAATTAAAAGGATAGTTTTAGATTTACATGGTGTAATTGTTGATTCAAGGATGGTTTGTTCTCTTTGAATATGAATAACCTCTTTTATCTTGAGTTGAAAACCGGTAGAGGCGTGATCTAAAACCGCTATCCGCTGAACGCAAAGCGCGACAATGTGCAGAATCTTTCACATGATGCTACGAATGACCTTCACATTTTAGATTTTTTACTCCCAATTTCTCACTGTCAATTTTCTACTTACCGCACGTGACATATAATTCAAGGTCTGGTATTTGGTGTTGTGAGATGAAATAGTCAATTGATCAATCTCGGAGTGAAGGATATTTAAGAGAGTTGGCTAGGGTCATGAAAGTTTTGAAACAATTATTTCGCGCGACCTACCGACATTTAATAAGAAGCTTTGATTTTGATGTTTGGGTTGTTCTAAAGCCGATAAGTTCTACTTCTGAATTTGAAAAGTAAGAATTATTTTTGTACCTTTTATAAAAAACTGTTTTTTGTGTGTGGTTTCATTACTATATGAAAGCAAAGGCGATACAAAATATATACAGTTGATCTGTTTGTATAGCTATAAAACTCATTGAAATATTTTACATGAAACCCTGGCTCAGGTAAAGTTTAACTTGAACAACCCAGCCCTATAATTGATCTAGAAAATTTTTATCTGTCTACCTGCTAGAGGATGCAGATAGATGAAATACTTTCTATTCGATTTTTTTTCTACCCTGAACAACCAGGAAAGAGACGTAGAATTTGTAACTGACCACCATCAAATGCGATCTTTTACAGTCTATTTCTGGATTTTTTTAAAAATTAGTATCATCGTAAATAACTTCTTTACATCTTTTGTATATCGTTATGTCGTTATGTTCAATGCACTGGACTCCGTGTCGAGAGGCCTGGGTTTGAGACCTGGCCGGGTCAATGCGTTGTGTTGTTGGTCAAGACACAGTGCCTCTCTTAACGGCACACATAATTTGGAGCCTCGCTTGTGTATCCCGCACCTTAATGGTGAAAGCTATTAAAAAAAATTGAGATGTAAAAACAAATTGAATAGAGACCTTTAAGACCAAATGAACCCCTTCTGAAAGTAACCCCCTTGTTTACTCTTTTGATCACCTGTCATAAGAGTGAGAGTTAACACTTTCTACTTATGTTTCCGAGAGGAGCCTAGTGTGAGAGGTGTTAAGGCGAGCTCAGATTCTAACTTGATACCTATGACTACTTGCTTCATCTGGTCTCTCACTCGTTTGTGAAACACACGGCGCCGTATTATCTAAAAGCCAGTAGGTTTCCATTGCACCCTTGCCCTAAAAGGGAGATAAAAGAAAAACATTTTACTGTCAGTACTAAATAAGCCTGGTACATAAAATAAGACGGTGTGAGATATGTGTTTTGTAAAGAGGTTTTTAGTTTAATTCGAGCAATGTTGGTGAGAGCGCTGACCAGGTCAGTGTGTTGATGTATTTGAAAGAAAAAAATTAATTGCTATCCAGTGCCTCTCTCCACCCATGAGAATACATTGGTACCGGGAAGGGTAATGAAATGCTGCGAGGGATTAGCATCCCAGCCAGTTGGGAGTAGTGATACTCTTCGTCGTTTCGCGCGTCAGATATTCTGACCAAAAAGACAGGGTCGAGACTCACCAGTAATTTAAACGCGTAATTTTGAGAAAAATATGCAAAAAAATTCTTCTATCGTTGTGTTACTTGTTCTCTTTAGGTTTTTTTTTTCCTTTCCACAGGGCGAACTAAAAAGATTGTGCATGAGGATTCAGTCCCAGGTCTTATTCCTCACTTGACCCTATATAACAATGGCAAAAATGTCATACTTTGACGTCAACTAATCCTCTGAATTCCAGATGATAACCATCGATAAATTCCAGCATGTCCTTTGTATCTTTGCTCACATGGATTTTCTGGGCTGAAATGTGAAGTATTTGGGTTTTAAATAATCAACGATCTTTGTAAATTTTTTTAACGATTTGTAAATAAACAGCAAGCAAACAAACAAACAAACGAAACACAAATTGGAGAAATCCCTCAGAGCAAGGACGAACTCCACCATCCTACTCAACATAAATAAGAAAAAAAAAGAATAGATTCCATTTGTTTTTCATGTATGCATATCACCAATGCAAGTCAGGCCGCGCTGAACTGAATTGAACCCGGGGCTCTATAAGTGTAACTATACATTTTTTATGTTGACAAAAATTTTGGAACAAGACTTACGCAATCCAGTTGTCTGCATTCTGGATGCGGTGTTCACAGTGTCCCCAAACAAACAATAGCGAGGCATTTTGTTCCCTACAACTCCTGCCGCGCAAGGACCTGGAAATAAATGAGTGAAGAAGTTAACAAAAATAATATAGAATTGCAAAAAATGAAAGATTTTGTCTTCCTTTTTAATGAGGCGCAGACTAAATTCACGAAATAATAGAAGAACGAATGGAAGTATACCATTCAATATATACTTAAAGCTAATAAAATTTAAATCTGATACATCAAATTTTATTGCCAATTATTGTTCGTCTGTGATGATTAAAAGTATCTACGAAATATAAGAAATATGAAAAAATGATTGTATGCGAAGAATGCAGACATTTAAAATAACTATAACGAAACCGGCAACGGGGTTACCTCCAGAAATCCAAGAGATAACTTCAAAAACTCACCCGTGTGTATACCTATTCTTACACTGAGATCTCTTCCGTCATCGGAGCCAAAATGAACACTTTTCATGAGCTCCACCAGATGAAGAGCCATCAGGGACACCTCAGTGACGTGATTGTGCCCATTTTTCTCTGGTAGGCCTGATACAACCATGTAGGCGTCACCGATCGTCTCCACCTTATAGACATCGTATTTGTCGATGTGGTTGTCAAAGATTCCATAAAGTTGGTTCAACATGTGGGTCACCTCCATGGGTGAGATACTGGCACAGATTTGCGTGAAGTCCACGATATCACTGAAAAAGACAGTCACGCTTTCAAACTGCTCTGCTTTGACAGTCTGCCCACCCTTGAGCTGTTCGGCGACAGGATACGGCAGCATTTGGTAAAGAAGACAATCTGCTCTATGTTTTTCTTCCTTCAGCTGTTTCGTTGTTTGATGAAGTTTGTTCGCGTATCTTTGGATCGTGTAAACAATGAACACAAAGCAGGGCATAATCAACAGAACGAAGGCAAAAACTGAATACTTTAGTATCGAGTCCTTCTCTGCTGAGCTTACATTCTCCTTAAGTTTGTCAAGGATCAGTGTCCCGACCTCCTTTTGAACTTTAAGTAATGCATTTATGTAAACAGTCATGATATCAAACCACTCTACTCCCAACTCCACTGACGCGTTTTGCTTTTTATTGCCTAAGATAACTTTTCTTTTTTGCTCCACAGTAACCAAAATCGTCCTGTTAGAAGCTTCAACAGATTTATTATAAATTGTTTTAATCTCCGGCACAAGTTGCATGCTCGTCTGTAACTTGTCCTGTCCCAGCTGATTCTGCTTTGCATACCAGAGTAAATCATTTGTATCTTGAAAATATCCTCGACTGAAATATGAACCTCCAAGAGCTCGCTCAATACCAGTTCTTTCTTTGCCAATAAGGAGCATTTGGTACCCGATGTAGTCCGACAGAATGTCTTGGTCTGTTTGCTGGACGTTGCGGAAAGACCAATCAAACAGGTTTGTAATTATTTGTGTGTAAAACGTGATTTCTTCTTTGATTGTGCTGTTATTGGAAGGGTGAGACTGACGATGGTTATTTACCAGCGCCAGAAATGTCTCCAGGCTGTTAAAATTATACGTTTCACGATTATCTTGTGGCCACCTGGCGAGATTTTGGGCCACCTCATCAGTTTCCTCTGCAGCTTCTAACACCCGAGGCCATATTCCCTGTTGTGGATCTGAACTGAAGTGTAAAACTCTTGTTCCTCGCTCAATTTGCAGTCTGTGAATGAGGCCCGCGACTTCGATGCTCAGGTTTATGCTAGCTTGCAATGTTTTGGTTTTTGTAGTGACCTGACTGGCTTTTAAAGCGTCTAGTATTGTAAGAATCGTCAGACCAGTCATGGCTATCAAGCTCACAACTACCATGGTCGCCATTTGAGTTCTTCTTCCAGTTCGAGTGATACTTTTTGGTGTTGATATTTTATTTTCCAGTCTCAAGTCCAGGATCGGCTCTACTTGTCTCGTTTTCTTCATGGCAGCTGATAATCCGCGAAAGAAAGCTTCAGTTTAACCGAGGTGTCTTGAATTGAATCTTTTTTCTGGGGAAACAAAAATTCCTTCAATGAGGTGTATCTGAAAGTTAATATTAAAGTACTTTATTCAAAATTCAGAAGGTTTCCTTGAAAGTTAGGTTTACTGGTACTTTCACGAATAGCCTCTTTCTTGAAAGCTTCATGTCCGTCAGACGAGCGAGTTAGCGTCGGGAGCTTGGGGTGACAAGAGTTGAGGGTAAGAGGAGCTAGGAGCCAGAACATTTCCAAATGAGAAGACGTGGGTTTGAAAAACTCTGTTCCCAGTTTCTGTGCGGATTTTTTTCGTGAAAATTAAACGTTCGCTCTCTGAAAAAGATTGCGAATTAGATCTAATATCGAATTGAAGACTTAAAATATTTTTGTGTCCTCTTTGTCATTAGCATGGCTGGAGTCTTCTAGGAATCGAGTACGAATGGAAAACGTGAAGCAGTCATAATTATCCTGAATACCGAGAGCTTTAATTTTTTGCATTCTTCAGTGCAGCTTACACAGAAAAAAAAATTCTGGCGCGTGAAAAAAAAAGTTTTCAAACGAGAGTTGGACGTCAGTGTGCGTGCATCTGCGGTTATTTAAAAATCAGTCATTTTTGGACAGTAAATCAATGTTTCTTCCACCTTTATCAATCAAGATTAATCCTTCTTATCGTTCTATTGTTCTTTGTGTTGAACTCAATCCGAAGATAGCAGATGCTTCTGCCGAGAAATGTTTGCTAATCTTAATTTTCTTTGATATTTCTATTGATAAGAATATTATTCTCGAACGAAAATTTCTTAAAGCAACCATTAGTGACTCCAGCTCGAAAACTTCACCTTTAGAATCACTTTACGTTGGCTAATTTACACCATCAACTCAATTGATAGAACCAACCTATCTCGTAACATACACCGCCCCATTCCCACCGATGCAGCTCTACACTTTCGTTAGGAACTTACCCTCTTAATTCAATTCGTTCTATCAGTACTGTGTTATCATGTTCAATCTTTCGATTTTCAGGAGTATTAAGTAAACACACGCGTCTTTCGAAGATAATCCGGCCTTGATCCATTACGCTCCATATATTTACACAGTGAACCGCGAAGTGTTTAATTTTTTACCACAATTGGTCAAAGGGAAATGCTAAGTTTGCTCAGGGCGCAAATATCATCTTGGACTGAATAAAGAAATGAATAATAATCTTTTTGGATTATCCGTTTAATCCCAAAATTTGGAACAATTAATCTGAACATTTTCAACCTACTAGTTCGGTGACGGGTGGGAGTGAGCAAAAATCTATCATCGTAACGAAAGTACGTGTTCATGTCATTTTTCCCGACCAATCGAAATAGAAATTACTTTAAATAATTATAGACTGTCTAATTATACCAAGATTGGGTTTTTCAATATTTTTAGCCACTTTTATACACTCAGTTGAGAGTAGGTTAACTTGAAAAGGTCCTGATACGAAACATCTGTCGTTCACATACAAAACAAAAGCGTTAAAAGGCTGGTTTGAAATATTTCCTTATGTCGTGGTAACCCGAACTGAAGCATAGCTGTTGTCTTCATCCCTCGTTTTGGTGTTTAAGTACTTCAAACCTTCCGAATAAGATAAAATATCTAGTTACGAAGGAAGAAAGAAGCAAAATGCAAATGCATGCAATGCACCGATTTTCAACCTGTCAAGACAAAAGATTATAGCACCCAATATATTGGTGTCTCATTCTAAATCAGGCAATCAGCGAGTTCATTTCACGAAATTTAACACTAATGTATCGATGAGAACATAATTCATGTAATTTCTGACGAATTTAGAAGCAGTTGAAAAATAGTTCAAATGATACTCAGAATTTTCAACCAAGCCTTCATTATTTTAACGGCAAAATTCTGCCGAGCAGAACACGAAGTCTTCTATGTACTAAACTTACACTCTGCATATTACGGTTTTTTTTTCACTTTTTTTTTTTTGCGGAAGCTAACCAATTGCTATGTTAGAGGGCCAACCCAACGAAATTAAACCTGGCAAAAGTAAACAAAAAAAAAAAGGCACGATTAGCTCCCTTTCCTTTCCTCTCACGCTTGCAGAATTAAGTGAAACGAGTAAAAAAACATTTATGGTAAAATCACCTTTTTAACATTCGGAGCTTGCTGTTAATCGCAGATAACATGTAAGTAAATCAGTAAAATCAGCATTTTACACAACAAAAAACGAGTAACGACTGCAAAATTTTCGAAAACTTGAGCGAGCCTTTAACAAACGTGAGTATTGATGGAGATATCTACAACTTTCAATTAAAAAAAAGGAAAAATTAGTACGTGTCACAATTTTATGAAAGGAAGATGTGGATCGCTTTAGATATGGCACAGAAAGCACAAAAGGAAAATTGGAAAACACTTCTGAATTTTTTAACATTATATTAATTGATTTATGGAAAAGAAAATAACACGTAGTATTTTTCAGACGTTTCCAGGACTTACCAAACGCGCTGATGAAGTCCCCCTAGAGTCCAAGTTTTTGGAATTTCTTCTGCTTTCTGTGGTGGCAGGTTTTCAACTGGATACAGCTTTTTGTAGCCCATATAGCATTCTTGACGGGCTAATGCTCTGTTATAAAGCAGCAGAGAATCAAGTCTAATCGGATAGTCTGAATTCTTTCATCTAATTGGTCAGTTAACGCAGAGGGCAGATGGCTTGTTAATGGCTGTCTGTTAAGAGCCGACGAGAAAAGCTGATGCATTGGCGTATTGTTTTTATCTATTATGGAGGTAAATTGATGTTAATAAAAGCTTTTCTTTCTCTTTCATTTCATTTCATATTTTTCGGATGATAGACGACTTTCCAATAAGTCACCAATAGTTAAATAGTATTGGGGCAAAATCGGTAAGTGATTTTAATAGATTCATACGAAACAGCCTTTCCTCTTCACAAGCAAGATTAGGCTTTTGCTTTGAGTTTCTTTCAGTCGGTAACCATAGTAATAACAATTACAGCGAGTTATCAAGATGGAAAATTATCCAATGAATTTTTTTGAAATCAGGAATACGAGCTGAGTATGCTTTTTGTGGCTGAAAAACGCTTAGATTTGCTCACAAAGCCATAAAACGAACAAAATTCTCTTTGATGAGTATAAATTTTTTAAATTCAACCACAGTCTAGACAAGAACGTCATCCAACACCATTTTAATCTCAAACATTTTTAATCAAAATGCACGGTAAAAGTCCGTGACCATATGAAGTAAAAGGTGTATCCATAAGCAGATGTCTAAAAGCAATGTTTTGACAAACTCTGACAACTTTGGTCCCAAAACTGGACAAACTTTGTCAAATGCGCAGTTACAATCTCGATGCTTGAGATCTTTTTGGTGAAAGAAAAAGCCTCTCTTGTTAAATGACTCAACCATTTCCTGAATAATTACACGAAGCACTGCTAATCATAATAATAACAACTTTTGTAAGTGAAAAATTTTGGAGAGTAAAGCTTAACTTAATTAAGTTCGATATACATTTCTCAAGCCATCTACTTGTGTAAACATATTAATTTCCGACTGGTAGCCATCGTCTTTTCGCTAGCTTATTACTCGACCCTAAATCAACATCATATTTTATTTCACATGAAGTTTCCTTGTTGATTTTCAATGAGCAATCAAGTTGTTTTAACAGAGTCACAGAGAACAGTTTTGGTATCGCTCCAAACCTAATAACAACGGCCTATTTCAAACAGATTTGTCATAATCGTAGGATGTCTCTTCGTGTCACCGAGATACACGTTATAATCAGCATCTTAAAAAATCGACGGCAGAGCTAAAAATTTATAATCCTTATTGACCTTCTGTCTTATTTTATATATTCTATTTATGCATCCCAAGGTTTGGTGCTTCCTGAGACTAAGAAGTTTACTCGCTTGTTATGACGATCAAAGGCTTGTAAAGGTTGGACTTAATTTCGGCCTAAAACAAGCCATCGAAATCAGTCAAACTTGACAGTCCTTAAGTACTTAATTGCCAGTTTTCCGAATCTCTTTTCATCTTCTCAGTATATATACAAAATCTTTTGTGTTCGTGTCTTAACAACCCAAAGCTCTGCAAAGTCCACTAATTAAGAGAAGGCCCCATTTTCAAAAAGCATAAATAATCGAAGCGCGCACTTTTCACTCTAGTGCGAGAACAAGATTAGTTGCCAGTAACTTTTTTTAAAGTATATACTGGGGTTATCATGTTAATTTTTAAGTAATCTAACTACTGAAACTCGGATGGATCCAAACATTCACTGGGGGAAATTCCATTTTCAAATAACAGGTTCTTTCATTTGGCTTCTCTTAGCTTTGTCATACAGCATACCTAGAAGCACCATTCTATTTGTGTAGTAATCTTGCAAACAAAACCTACTTGAAATCCACTGAACTGGTCTCATTCTCAAATAGTTTAAATAACCGAGGCGGTCATTTTTTCACCCTAACAAAGTGAAAACACTATACGAATTAACGATCACATATTACACGTCAGTTGCAGCAATCAGTTTAAATGGTTAAAACCGAGCTTGAAATAAAGAAGTAGAATTCATATCAGATTTCACACGACCTGAATGTTCTGCCATAGTTTCGCATGACAGTTTTTTCCGATTA